AAGTAAGGGAATGGAAGAGGGAAGAGGTCACCTCCAGTAATGATAATAATAAAGGTTTTTACTTTTTTTTTAAAGTTCAGTATTGTATTAGTATGTGCCAGAGACTGAGGTAGGTACTTTATATATCTACAGTCCTTTAAACCTCTCAGTATGAGTAAGGCACTGTTATTATTCCCATTTTGCAGATGGGACACTGAAGCAATGAAGTAACACAGCTTGCAGTGAGGGAGCTGGAGGTGGAACCCAGATTCTGCTCCAGAGCTGGTGTTGTGTTATGTTGTGGGAGGGGTGAGGAAGAGCACAGGAAGAGGGAGGAAGAACTCTGGACTCAGGTGGCTGCGGAGCCGGCTTTGACGATGGATGGGATTTGAGTCCTGTAGAAATGGAAAAGGAGGCCCGGAGGGCTCTCAGGAGACACCGCAGCTTGATGAAAGGGGCATTAGGGTAGGTGGGATAGTGAAACCCATTCTGTTCGCCTGGTAAGAACAGTGTCATGGAAGACAAGACTGGAAAGGGTAGGGTAAATTCCGATTGTGGAGGGCTGCAAAGGCTGGGCAAGTGCAACTCCTTAGGACTCTTTCATTGGTGGCACTGGGGAGCCATGAAAGATTTCTAGGGACAGGAGTGGCATGAATGTCATTACAAAGGCAGGGAGATTTCCCCCTGACAGCTACCCAAAGGTCATTCTTCTTTCTTACCATCAAAGCTGTCTCATCTGTGCAGAACAGGGGTGCTTCAAGGAAGTCAGTAGTGGGCAGTGCCAGTTCCTCTGAGGTCTGAGCCTTCCTGTGAGCCCCCATCAGAGATGAGGTGCAGCAGAGATGAGCAGGGTATGGAGCTCGGGAGGAGTCGAGTTCTGAGAGCTGGACAGGTGATGAAGCCCCAGGCGCTGACGTCGCATGGTGAGCTTGCCTGCTCCTTGTCCGGCCTGCTTTCCACATCCACGAACAGGAACGGGAGCCGAGGCACTCACAAGGCCACTGCTTGGAATGGGCTCTTGGGGATATTAGAAGTTCTTAGAGAATTGTGCTTTTTAAAAAACAATGTGTACCCATGTAGCAAATTTGAAAAATGTACAAAAATGCAATGGAGGAAAAAAATCATAATGTGCTTTTTTAATACACTCATTGAGATTCTTCTCATTACATATAATAAGTAGAATACTTGTGCATTTCATGTTTCATTTTCTCATACTTTGGAGGTGCAACATTGTAGAAGCACTCTTAGCATATTTCTGCAGGGTGTGCCCCCAAAATGTATACACACTTTAACAGCTGACAGCTAATTTTGAAAATGAAATGTATTTTAATAAACACTGCCTTTATAATTATGCAAAGTGTGTGTACATTTTTTGGGACACCTTGTTTTTGTCTTTTTGTGGGGGAGGGAGAGGGAGATATAAAGTGAGGAATGGGGTATAAATACAGTGCCCAGAAGAGCATCAATTAAGGGATGTTGCTCTTGACCTAGTAGATATTTTAGGCTAACCTAGTGGTCTGAAAAGATATAAATAACATGCAGGCGTTTTTGCTGATCCAGCTTGTGGTGGTTAGAAGAGAGGCCTTTAGAAAACCAGACTCAGAGTTGGAGCCTGCGTTAGTGTTCCCTGTAGTCCTCCCGCCCTAGAAGAATGCCTTCCTCCCTCCTCATCAAGCCTGGAGTCTGTCAGCACTCGCCTCTTCCTCAAGTCTGCTTTCTTAGACCACCCTGCTTATGGTGCTGAATTTCTTCTCTGAACTCACAGTGTTGGTTCTGTATCATTCCTTTGGCTTCTCTCTTACTTATAAAATAGAATATTACTTACCCCCCAGGCTTTTGTAAAAATCAAATGCAAGAATGAGTGTCAAGTCCCTAGCACAGTGTCCTGTGCTGAACTAATATGCTCAGACTTGCTAATTCCTTTTCTCCTGCCTGTGCCGTTTCCTGTCGTCATTTATCTTGTGTCTTTGGATTAAGACTGGAGGCTCCTCAGGGCAGGATTCATACTTTCTATTTCCTTGTGACCCTCACGGCTGGGGTAGAGTATACTCTGCACAGCTGTTCACTCCAAAGGCTCCTTCCTGTCACTCTTATTTTTGTAGCATCTTTCAAAGCTAAAAATATTAATCATTATTTACTGATCCTTCACCATGTGCCAAGGCCCCTGTAAGTGCTTTACACACATTATTTCGTTAAGAAATTTTTTCTCTGAAAACTCCATTATGTCAGTGGTATTATCTCCATTTTACAGATGAAGAAATGGAGGCTTAGAGGAGCTAAGAAATTGCCCCGGGTGGCTCATGTAGGCTGAGCCACGTTCCACACCCAGAGAGTCTAGTTTCAGAACTTCTGTTCATATTGCCTTTTAGGTGGCAAGCATGGTCTATTTCCATTTAGACAAGAGGGACTTTAACTGATTCCACATGGGAATCCCATGAAGATAGCATAGTTCCATCAATGAATTCTAGAGCAATGTGGATGCCCATTGCCTTCTCTTTGCTCTCTTCCAATTTGGCACTTTTTGTTTTGGATTTGAGTCAGTTCTGCCTCTGCCTCTGTGTGTGACTGCCTTGCGTGAATCCATTAACAGTCCTAATACTCAGTTTCCTGATCTGTAAAGGGGAAGACCTCTGTGTGTGCAAGAATACTTGTTTTGTCACATCTTACAGGATTGTTACGATGATCAGTGGATACTGTATGTAAAAGCAAAATATATTACTATGTTATATTCTTTCCATGCATCATTTAGATTAAATGTTCCATGAGGGCACCTGTTTTTATTTGTATTTATTTACAATTGTGGTAAAATATACACGACACAACATTTACCATTCTGATAATTTTTAAGTTCCGTGACATTGACTACATTCACATTATTGTGACCATCACCAGAACTTTTTTCATCTTGCGAAACTGAAACTCTGTACCCATTAAATAACAATGCCTTGTTCCCCTACCCCAGCCCCCTGGCAACCACCATTTTATTTTCTGTCTCTGAATTTGACTACTCTAAGTACCTCGTACAGTATTGTATAGTATTTGTCCTTTTGTCGCTGGCTTATTTTATTTGGCATAATGTCTACAGGATTTACCCATGTTGGAGTATGTGTCAGAATTTCCTTTTTAAGCCTGAATAATATTCCATTGTATGGATGTATCACATTTTTTTAATCCATTCATTCATCTGTGGACACTTGGGTAGCTTCCACCTTTTGGCTATTGTGAGTAATGCCACTATGAACATGTTCTACAAATATCCGTTTGTGACCCAGAGGTAGAATCACTGGATCGTGTGGTAATTCTGTTTGTAATGTTTTGAGGAAGAACCTTCATACTGTTTTCCACAGTGGCTGTACCATTTTTCATTCCCACCAGCAGTGCGTAGGGTCCCAGTTTCTCCACACCCTCGCCATTTCCCTAGTCACTAGTGATACTGAGTATCTTTTTCATGTGCTTATTGGCCACTTGTACATCTTTCGAGAAATGTCTGTTCAAGTTCTTTGCCCATTTTGTTTTGTTGTTTTCGCCCTTTTTTTGTTTTCTGTTTTCTTTTTTGTTTTGTTTTGTTGCTTTCTCTCCCATTTTTAAATCAGGTTGTTCCTATTGTTGTTGAGTTTTAGGGGTTCTCTCTATATTTTGGATATTAATCCCTTTTTAGATATGTCATTTGCAAATATTTTCTGCCATTTTGTGAGTTGTCTTTTTACATTGTTGATTGGGTCCTTTGATGCACAAAAGTTTTTCATTTGATGAAATCCAGTTTGCCTATCTTTTCTAGTTTCCTGTGCCTTTAATGTCATGCCCTTATTTTTCAGAAGAGTCTAATACATGCCTTAAAAGCAAGAATAATGATGGTAATAGTAATAGCATTACTCCTCACCAGATACTGGGTCAAGTATCTTACATGCATCATTGCCTTTCATTCCCAACCAGCCCTGTGAGGCAGGTACTATCACTCAGATTTACAGAGTAGGAGCTGGGCCTTAGAAGTTCAGTGAGCACCTTCCCCAACTTGTGTGGGTAACAAGTAGCAGAGCAGGGACTGGGCTCCAGAACTGGTGCTCTTCACACCAACCTAGACAGCTCAGTAACTATTTGTAGAACCAAGTGTATGAATACCTGAATGAACTTTGTGGCTAAAAATCTGGTAATAGTTGTCTCAAATTCAGATCTGCCTTAGTATTAAAAATTATTCACCCAGTTTCAGTCCTCCTAGTGTACTTCAGGGTACAAGAATCCTCATCATCTCAGCAAGTTTTCTGAGAGTTCAGTTAAAAGCTTTGATTTCTTACAACTCCTTGAAACTCTTCTTGGTAATGGAAGACTATGTCTTTTAATTTTTCTTTGAATTTGCTTTGGAACTACAGTATAGTGTTGGAGGGAGAAAAAGACGGGATTTAAATAGATCCTAAGTTTCTAGCTGACCACCTTGCTTTTAAGACATTACCTACCAGCTGCTGTTTTAATCGTTAATGAAGCACAAGGCTTGTAGTCTCAGAGGCACGTCAAAAATTCTGTTTTGGGTTTTGGTTTAAAATTGAGTGTAATATAGAGAGACTGATTCTTTCATCTTGGAGAATTGGGCTGCAAGTCTTTGAGAGCTGGAGACAAGGACAGGGCCCTATAATTGGACACTGTTGAGTTTCTTGCCACTCCTCAAAGGAGAAATCATACAGAGTTCTGAGGTCTGAGAAATGATGTTGCTTGGTGTTTGAAAGGGGAATTTGCTAGTGGCTTCCAGAGAGTGAGAATCCCTCATATTAACTTTGGTGTAAATTTTAAAACCGGCAATTCAAAGAATCACCAAATTCTAGCTGACAGGTCCTTAGCAGGATTTGGTCCAGCCCCTCATTCTACAGATGAGAAACTGAGGTCCAGAGAGGATATTTTACCCTAATATTTCTGATATCAAATGGGGGGGGGAGTTTCTGACACCAACTGGATATCCTATAATTCAAATCTTACCTAACTACCTGGAGTTATCACAGAGCCCCCACAGGTTAAGGGCTCAGTCTCACAGACTGCCTCCACTCCAGACACCAGTGGCAAGTCCCAGGTTGCCACCTTTACGTCTGACCAACTGGCTATAAATTGGGGGTTGCTATGACCTCCTCCTCAGGTTCAACAATTTGCTACAATGGCTCAGGAAACACAGGAAAACACTTTTCTTACATTCACTGGTTTATTTTAAAGGATATAAATCAGAAACAGCTAAGTAGAAGAGATGCATGGGGCAAGACATGAGAGGAAGGGGCGCTGAGCTTCCATGTCTCTCCGGGTGCTGTTCTCCTAGCACCTCAACATGTTCGCTAACTGGGACCTTCTCAGAACCCCGTCAGGTAGCCCTTCCCTTCAAGGAGGTGGGTGGGCAGTGGGCTGAAGTTCCCACCCCTCTAATGCCTCGTTCTTTCTGCCAGCCAGCTCCCACCCAGAAGCTATGTAACCCCCACCCCCAGCTGTCTCAGTATCACCAAAGAGACTCATCACTGTGGAGATTCTAAGGGTTTTTGGAGCTGAGTGCCAGGAATCCAGGACAAAGGTCAAATATTTATTTATTTATTCGTTTATTTATTTATTTAATAAAAGTTTATTTGAGCCAAGTTGACAATATATGCTGGGGAGCACGATCTCACATGTTCTCTTTATTTCTTATTATGTCCCACAGTGACCAGTGGTAAAGCTGGGGAAAGGACTCGGTTTATGACTCCCACATTTTTCTACTTACCTCAGGGCCTTTGCTAGTAATTTGGATATTTGTATATGGGCAGGGAGGCCAAGCAAAGTAGTAGTGAGTCTGCCATTCATTGGAGGGACAGTTCTTGAGTCAGATTCATGGAAGGTAAATAATATTTTACTGTTTGAAAGTTAATCTCCTGATTTAGACCTGGCTTGGTTGGGGTGGCTAAGGGGTCTTCCCATAGAGGGTCGGCATTCAGGCCCTCATGAATTAGACCCTTGTCTAATTTTAAAATTAGACAAGAAGAAGTATGTAAATTGAAAGTAACAAATGTACACATTGTTTGAAACAGACAATACAGAAGTATATTTTGTATTAAGTGCCAGCCCCCACTTTCCCATCACCCTTGGACTCCCCAGAGGTATCTCCAGCAGCTGTTTAGTATGTGGTCCTTATTCCATGAAGTTCCTTTTATATAATGGGATCCTACTGTAGGTTTTATTTTATATCTTGCTTTTATCATACCATTGTATATTTTAGAGATCCTTCATGGCAGCATATTTCAATATACCTCATTGTGCAAAGCATTTCATAGAGTGGATATACAATTATTTAGCCTTTCTCTTGCAGGGAGGCAGTGTTTTGTGTGTGTGTGTTTGTTTTGTCTGTTTTTATAAACAATGTTGTGGCAACATATGTTGGTACACATACATTTCTGTAGTTTAGAATCCTAGAAGTGAAAACCTGGGTCAGACTATAGGAACATTTAAAACTTTTCTAGAGCCTGCTGAATCGCCTTCTAAAGGGGTCCTGCAGTAGACTCTCACAGATCCCAAGAGTAGCAGTTTTCCCTACACCTCCATCAGTGCTAGAGATCTTTGCATTTTTGCACATCTGAGGAGGGAAAGGGCATTTGGTTGTCTGTGGTCCATGCTCCCTCATGGGAAACCGTCTCCGAGACTTGTGGAGTAAAGCTCACTGCCTTTGGCTAACTTCCTTCCTGAGCACCATCTGGTAGAAACACAGAGTGGACCATGGCCACTGGTGGAGCCATAGAGATGCACTGCCCCTCCTGTATCCTGGCCACCCGCCCTGAGCCAGGTCCTCTGGGACCTTTACTTTTCTTGTTGAGGGCTTTTCCCCTAAGAACTCTTTTGGTCACATTTCCCGGCTGACTTTCATATGAAATATCCCAGTGCCTCATTTCCTTTTCCCGTTTGCCTGCCAGCTGTGAGGGAACCACATCTTTCTGCATGTTCACACTCCCTGCATATTCCTGGGTGACTGCTTAGCCTTGAGAATCCACAGTGTCTTCTTCCTTGTCTCTAACCCAGTGAAATAAACAGAAATCAGGAGTTTTGTGCATCCTCTTAGTAGGGTCAGAACAATCTGATGAACATGGTCAGAGACTAGATTTTAAATTCCATTCCCTGCCAGAGAGCTAGAAAGAGAGTAGGTGAGGCGGAAACTGCATTTATTGAGGGTTTTTGCTCATTCCCCTTGCAGCTACCCCAGGTAGTAGTAGTTTCTTCTCTGATTTATAGTGAGACTAGTTACATGCCAGAGACCTCCCAGGGAGTAAGTGGCAGAGTGAAGACTTGAACCCAGGTTTCACCCTGCTCATTGATGGGCTCCAGATTGATCCTTGAACTGCTGTCCCAGAGATCTTCCTCCTGGAATGAAGCTCAACTAGAGCCACACCTGGCGGGCCTCCTGGGCCCATTGGCCACCTGCAAGAAGAAACTGCAGTTTCTCTTCCTTCCCTTCCCTTCCCTGAACACCTAGGTTCTGGCCTGGGGTTCCCAGATACCACCCTTTCCATTCAGTCCTGGGGACTAATTTCATGATTTTTTAAAAATTGTAATAATCTTTTATTATGTATCAAATTGTCTTCAACATAAGTTACAACCTGATTAAATTTGATAGCCTTTGTAATCTATTTAAAGACAAAAAAGTTCTCCTTATGTGCAATATCTTTTATCTAGAGTCTAGCAAATATACTACCTTTCATTGCAGGACTTCTACATAACATAAGGAGCAAAAACAACCAAAAATTATAAACTAAATCCCCTAACCTCTCAACTGTCTATATTGAATGAATCATTAAAAAGACAAACACAGAAAACTTTTTTGGTTTAGAAATGCAGAATGAATACTAAAGTTAGTGGCAGAAAAGAATAAAACCCTAGGAAAACAACCAACTGTCTTCAGGGGTAAACTTTCCTGCTTAGGAGTACAAGCTGACTCTGCACCATCTCGTGGGTCCTGCGGGTAGCACAGCACAGGATCATGCCAAAATCATCGCCATGGCTACCGTGCGGCCCATCACAGCAAGGATGTGGAATTTGTCCAGGAAGACCTCTTTGATGGCCTCATGGCAGGGCTTCACTGTGATGCTTGAGAATATATCCTTTTGGGGGCAGATGCCCAAGATGAATTGTTTCGCTCCCCCAGCCACACCACAGCAATACAACATAGAGTGAATGGCTTTTAGCATTTCTCCTGGGACTCATCCTTGGGTTTCGGCTTGAGGTGGTATTCATGTAAAATTCCTGGAGTTCCTTAATCACCTCATCTTCGTGGGAATACCCCCAGATGGCCACAGCTATTTCAAAGGCAAATATCATCAAGAGGAGGACAGTCCCAGCATGCACTGGACTCCTGCACAGCCTCACAGCAGCCCAGGACACCCACCAGCATCATGGGGTTGCCGGCTCCAGTCAGAATATAAACTCCTGTGTAGAAGCTGGACATGCCCTTGGTCTGGAGTCGAATCGGAGCCATAGTCCAATGGCAAGGACTGCAATCCTGGCAAAGCATTAGGTGATGTTAAAGCTGAAGAGCAGGCATTTGATGCACCTGAGGCCTCCCTTGACTGGCATGGTGAAGGCTGACCTGGCCTGGGCTGCACTGGTATGGGATGGGGGCACCACCTTCATGGTTTTGAAGTATCCATGAGCCACCTGTGCTGTTATTTATAAAATATTTTTTTATTCACTTTTTTTACTTGGGCAAATTTACTTTGAAAGGACCTTTATCTCTATTGTAAAGTGAAAACCAGTTTCACTTAGCATTCATCCAAAGTAACATAAAAATAATAAGTGCAGTGAAATCAAAACTAGGTTATTCTAGCCCAGCTGGGCATGGCTCAGCGGTTGAGCATCGACCTAGGATCCAGGAGATCATGATTTGATTCCCGGTCAGGGCACATGCCCGGGTTGTGGGCTCGATCCCCAGTGGGGGGCGTGCAGGAGGCAGCCGATCAATGATGATTCACTCATCATTGATGTTTCTCTCTCTCCCCCTCTCCCTTCCTCTCTCTGAAATCAATAAAGATATATTTAAAAAAACAAATAAGCAACAAAAAAATACTAGGTTATTCTAGCTGAATCCTGCTGCCTTCCCTAGGGCCCTAGCTGAGGCCTCTGTCCTCATTAGAACAGGGAAACTCATAGTGTTGGAGTGGACAAGCTAGGGGAGAAACAGGAGAACCTCAAGAGAACTGACCCACTGTTACTGACCACCACTTCCTGGCCCACTGGAAGCCACCCCTGGTGGACCCGACCCACTCTTTGGGGAGTGCTCGTGTAGCTTCTAGCTACCCTGGGTCGTACCCCTTTTTGGGGCATACTACCTGCCCCTGGGCCTTTGCTCTGCCCTTGCCTTCACCACGATGGCTCTGTCCTCTGCTTCTCTTGCTCATGTAGTGAGATTCTGCTCCTCCTGCGAGGCCAGGCTCAAATGCCACACTCACTGAGATATGTCTTCGGGTCACAGAGTCACTGTCGTCCTCACCCCAGGTGTCCCAGTTATTGCTTGAGAACTGTTTGCATATATCCATCCTGGCATAGATCAGAGTAGGTGTGTATGTTTTTCCTGTGAGACTCAGCTGTGGCAAGGGGCGCTTTGCAGAGTTTATTCTCATGTCAGTCAGGAGCCCCTGGGGCTGGGGCGACTCTTATCAGATGTGAAGCCTGGGGGTGTGCTGTTTCCTGCACCAGGCCCTCTGTTCTGCCACGTTAGGTGCTCGGCATTGTTGCTGGGGAACTGGGTCTTCCTGTCTGGCATTCGACAACTACCACTTCCCTCTCCAGAGCAGCATGGGGCACTGTGAAGAGGTGGCTGTGGGTCTCTGAGTGGCAGGTAGAAGAGCAGCTGTTTGGGTGGAAGGCACCTGTGTGAGAAATGCATGGCATGGCTCCCGGACACCCCTGCTTATCACCTACCACACAACTGAACCAACCACACAGGCCAAAAACTTTTGCTTTGAATGTTGAGAGTTTTAACAGGAAGAAAATAAACCTGCCTTCCCGCCACCTGAGGTGTCCGAAACACCAGTATGATGAACAAAGATGTTTCTAAAACTTTGGAGATATCACCTATCTCAACATTCCCATATCTAGGTGTCAAAGCAAAGCCCCCCCAACCTAGGCCAGGCAGCATCCGTTTCCAAATGGCTCCCAAAATCCTCATCACAGAGCAGAACTTTCCCATGTTTTTCTCAGGACCCAAGAATCCAGGGAGTGTGAGAGGGATAAGTGCAGGATGCTCAGCTGCGGCACGAGATGGCATCAGGGCCAGAATGACCTATTATACTGCAACTGCAGCATCAGCTCTTTTTGGGTTTCAGGCCTTTGGACTCAGACTAGAACTACACATTGTCTCTCTTCAGTCTGTCAACTGCAGGTCTTGGAACTTGTCAGCCTCTGTAATCACGGTTGTACTCAGACTGAGGAGATGCTCTTGGAGGTAACTTCATCTGGAGCATGAAGTGACATCACTGATGAATTCGAAATAATGACTGATACTGATTTAGGATTAAAATATATTAGACTATTAAACATTTAAAATTGCATTAATGT